ATACACACATGGTAAATAGAGTGCCATCTATTCGATAGTTTTAAGATTATTTTTCGTCCGGCTTCTTATCGTCTCTTTGGTGACGGCATGGTCTTGGTTGCAATCGCGTAAGCTTTTTACCACATGTGCCTATTTATTTATTTTTTGCTGACTATTCAGTGAACGAAAAGAGCGCTGACTAGTAATTAATACATCGCGATGGAATTTCATCGATACGTATTCATACACGCGACTCGAAACTGGGAGAACTTGTACTGCAATTGTACGCGTGATTCGTGATTTTTTCTTTTCTTTCTTTTGTTCGCTCGCATTTGTTTAAGAGCACTGTCACACTTCCGCGTTACGATTTTCTGCGAATATTAGCCCGTTTAACGCATCTTTTTGTTTTGGAGCAAGGTAGAGTTTAACTCGCAGATTTCTGTTTTCAGAACAGAATTACTACGAATTTTATGACACATTCGGATGAAACTTAATTAAATTTTTATAAAAAAAAAAAAATGGATGTTCAATGTATTGTTGATAAAATATAGATGTAGATATTTAAGATTAGATATCGTATTTCTTGCTGTTAGATTCATAAAGATGTATGGTATATAAAATAATTGGTTAAAAATTGATTGACTGAATTGAAAAGATAATATTGCAAGCCTTTCGTTTTTTTTTTTTTTTTTTTTTTTTTTTTAATTATATCTCAGAATTCTTTATTCTTATCATTACGTAAAAAGAATATGTATATACGAGTCAGTTTCTTGAAAATTGATCGTTAATTGTCTGGTCAATGGAATTAAAGTAGTTATAAAAAGTAGAGTTAATCAGTTTGGCTTCTGAGAACTTCAATTTAACTACTTGTTAATACCATCTGTTAGTCAGGAAATTAAACAGTACCCTATTAAATAGCATTTGACAAGTTTTTCATACTCCGTTAAGGACCGAACGGTGCTATATTTATTTCCTAAATTTGTAAAATCTAGCTGAATGAAAAGCACCTCGAAAAAAATATTACTCTTGAAATTTTCTTTTCTTAATAATAATGTTAAAAAATAGAATATTAACACGTTGGCTCTTAATTTCACAATAATAATTAAATGGAGTATTTCCCACACAATTTTATTATTTTGGACCATAAGATCTCCTCGCATTCTTGAAATTCATTCATAAATCTAGACTGGCGGTGTGCATTATAATATTTACTAGTCATTGTTAAACAGCATATTTTAACGTGAAAATGGTGTTAGTAAACGTATTTTGCCTGAGACAAGTTGCTACGTATGTCGTAACATGTATTCACATGTACACGCGAGGATTACGCGTAGATCATTCATCTGTTCCACAGGCGCTCTTTAAACGAGAAATTAATGAAAGAACACATCAGCGTTTACCATTAATCTTAATACGCTGCGTATTGTTTGTTACGATTCACTTTGTAGCCTTTACCTTCGTTATTCCGTGGTAGCGGTTTTAACCATCGAAAACTACGTTTTTCCTTTGTTAAGCGAAATTCGTTCTCATATTTTTGCAGCGTACGTAAGCAAGTTCACGGTCGATTCATTGAAAATTAAATACAGTGGTCGGAAGTTACGATCGATCGTACAAAAGAGACATCAACCGATGTGTAAAAGTCACTGTACGGAAAGAGAGAAAAAAAAAAAAAA